GTTCGAGAGCAAGTCCCCGATCAGGTTCCAGAGCAAGTTCCGGAGCAGGTTCTGGAGAAAGTTCCGGAGCAGGTTCTGGACTCTATATAGGGTGGAGCAGGCTCAGAGGAGGTTCTTCCAGACGAGGTTCTGGTGGAAGTTCCGGGGCACCTGGAGCACTTTCCGGAGCACTTTGCGTCGCTACGCTGCCATGATTTGTGTTGTCACGCTGATGTGCTTGTGCGGTGTGACGCCGATGTGTTGTCATGCTGGCGTGCAGGCATGGGTCACAGTGATATGCTGAAGGGGTCACGCTGTCGCACTGCTTGCGGGCAGGCTCCGGAGGAGCGGATTCCGGAGCAGTCTTGCCGGCTCTTGCTTGCAGTGGTGTTGTTGTGCTTACACATGTGGGCACAATGCCGCCGTGTTGCCCTGTTGGCATACTCACATGGCACTATGAAAAGGCTCGTGCTGTTGAAGTTGCCTGGCAAAGACATGGCACTTGTTGGTGAACTTGCGATGGTGCCGTTGCCTTGTAGGCGGATATCAACCCCCAGCTTGAGGCCGAAAATCAAGGGAGAAGAACAGCAACAGCATTTGGGATACGGTCGAGGCTTTCTCCCACACAGGGTTTTGGGGGTTGAATTGGGTGGTCTTGTAGCGACAGTTGTCTGGATTTTGATCCAGAAGGAGATCATGCTGTTGATGTGATTTCTTCTGCAGTGGTGCGTGCCAAACACCCCAGTACTTCCTGAAATTGAAGCTGGGTGGTGCCGGACTTGTCGTTGCTGGTTTGTTTGCGTTTGCGTCCCCAGGTGAAAGCGCCCTTGGCCATCAATTGGCATTTAGTTTTTCAGCCACAACGGCTTTTGCGGCTGGCCTCCCTGAATGGAAATGTGGTCCTTCGCTCCATTTGCATGATGACCATTGTCACGGACAGATCACTTCTGTTATCTTCTGTTGGGAGGTTTTTTGTTCCATTGACTGGTCAGTCGTTTGGTGTTTCAAACAACTTGGAGTTGGATGTCAATGGCCTCGAACATCTCTATCTGATCTCATAGTTTCTGATACCTGATCAAAAGCGAATGAATGACTTGGATTGAAGGTTTACCTCTCCAGGTCATGTAGGCTTCACCTTCACCCAAAAGACATGGATCGTTTTGCTCGATTTGGCCAGGCGCCGGTTGGTGTCGTTCGATTTCACAACGACAGGACTTTACGTCTTTGAGCGCCAAGCTGGGGAGCTCGGCGCTGGCAGCGAACAACCTGCTAATGCAGCTACAGGTGCACAGCGGGTGTCGCGTTTGTTCGATTTTGTGGGCGGTCGGCCATGTATGACGTACAGGGAGGTTGGAGGAGGTTGGTCAGACCTAGCTATGGCAGTCTACGGCTGTCGTCTTTAGTTCTTGGAATGTGGACCTCCACATGTCGCGATTTATTCACTCAACGAGACGAGTTGAGATTCCCTTACGAGCATATATTCGGTCAAGGCATGCGAAGACATCAAACACAGTTCCTCCACTCTTCAGGGAACTCCGGGCATTTTGGAATGTTCACTTTAGACAACACAGGAGTGATGAAGCCAGGTGAGGTCTTTTCCTTTGCTCGGATATTCAGATGTCCCAATCCGTGCAGATGTTGATCTCTTTCGGCGCGGATGGCTTTGCCAACGCGGGGGAGGCGCTGGTGGGAGAGGCCATCGGCCAAGGAGACCCTCGGAAGGTCCGCCGGACGGTGCAGGCACGGGCCTGTGGAATGTGGGCCTTTGAATGATCAGGATGATTGGCTGAACATGGATGACTGGATGACAGATGTGGATGTTGAATGTTCATGAATGTTCATGGATGTCAATGGTCAGATCATCATGGATGCAGACGACGGATGGCTTAGAAAGTAAAACTGGGATCATGCAGACGGAGGTAGGAACCTTTTAAAAGTGAAAGGTGAAGATCGGTGTTGAATTGAGTTTGTTACGATTTTTGGAAGAAGGCCAGAACCATTTAGACAAATGATGAAAGCTGCGACTTGTGGATTGTATTTCATGTGAGGTCTCTAAATGGAGGTGATGTAGGTGATTTGAAAAAGTCTCCACAGTTGTCACCAAGTTGAAGAGATTCAGTGACCACATTCACTGTGTCACTCACCTGGTTCCTTCAACACCCTGCTTCAGGCACTTCTTACCTGGGGATTCTTGCTTGGCTTGGGCTTCACGCTTCTGTTTATGGTCTTCGGACATCAGATCTTGGGGGTGTTAACCTCACATCAAGAGGTACTTCACTATGCTTCGATTTATTTGCCCTGGCAGTGGGCCGCGCCAACCCTCTCTTTCACTGCTTACCTCATGGATGGTGTTTTTGTGGGGGCTGCACGCCCGAGCAGTATGAGGGATGCCACTTTTCTCGCCATGCTGGTCTTTTGCGCAATCGCCCACATAAGCCCAGACAACAACCTCTTGTGGGCAGCTTACATGCTGCATCTTATCACACGTGCAGCGGTCCTGGGATACTGGTATCCGGCAGTGGAGGACTCTGCTTCAGAAGTCAATGAATATCGGGAAACACTCTTGGCAACTTGAACCCCTTGAAACTAGGAGTTTATTTTCCATCTGGTGGACCGCTGTGGCTCGATACAAGCTGAGCAGCCAACTCCCGCTTTGTGACGTTTCTGGCATGCTGCGCATCAACGTCTTCGTGGGGCGGCTGAGGGCAGCTTTCCCGGCACCCATGCGCGGCACCGAGGCAAGATCTGGGGCCCTGTGGAGTGAGCGCGGTGTGCCTCTGAGGCCGAAAGAGATCCACATGCTGAGCAGCAAAAAGCAGCTGTGCTTGGTGTGTCACATGTCAAAGAAACATGTGGCTTTACAATTTTGCTGTGAGAGGAAAATCAGTCGAGGGCAACTGTTCTTCCTATGATACAGCCAGTATTATTCGCCACAAGGATCTCCAGTTCAAGAACCCCGTGTAGTCTGGAGCTTGCCTCAGTCGTCAATCCCACTATATAGAGCATGCCCACCAATCACGGAAAAGATAACCAGCATGCCTCCAGATAGATTTAAATCAGATACCAACAGACCTCAATCTGGTACTGCAGAAGCGATTCTGACATTCCTGCTGTCCCCAGCCTTTCTAGGATCTGTCATAATCCCTCATGATTCCCAGTTGAAGTCATCGGGACCACTTCATTAAGTTTCCCTCAAGATCTAGGAACCAAATCCTTAGTGCGAGCCTTCAATGATTCAAGGAAGCTCCCTCCCGCCCTAGGGCGCGGGGAGCTTCCTTGAAGATGCGTCTTCGCTATCCTGCGTCCATACTAGTAGCTTATGTAGCCAGGAGCCACCTTCTCCATTACTTAATTAACTAGGCGCGGGCTACAGAAAACAAAGGCAACTTTTTGGGTCAGGGGACATCCAGGGTTTCTGTCCTGGAGTATTGATGTTTTTAGCTGGAATGCCGGACGGGACACCCAGCTCCTGAAGAGTTTCCCCGTATCACCAACTTGCCTCAACTCAACTTGTGACAGTTCTCATGTGGAACAATAGCACGAACACGGAGGTCCCACATTTGTGCTGTTCTTCATATGCTGGCAATCTTGATTGTGTTCTGTTGAACGAGTTCCTTCTTCGCACAGAAAAGATGTCGCATCTATCAGCTAGTTTCAGAACATTGACATCATCCTGACAGCCAAGGTTTGAGTGATGTGGCCGGGGCTGCTGATCCGGCATGTTTGCATGTTGGCTATGTCGCACTGGTGTAGATTTCCCCCTCTTGTGACTCTTGTGCTTATGTCCTTCGCAGTAAAGTCAGAGCGTGCACGTCAGAGCGCTGGCATGTAAAAGGTGGCCATTCAACCACACATGACAAGAATCGTGACTTTGGCAGACATATCTTAAAAGCAAGCCTGCAGACCCACCTGTTTTGTCAAGAGTCAAGAGCATCTCAAATGGAATTTGAAACAGTGAATTACCTGCCTCCGGCCAGACCTTGTCTACATCTCCGGCGATGCCTCCTGCATTGCCTCAGATGATGCCTCCAGTGCTGCCTCCGACAGTGCCTGCCACGATGCCCCCTGCAATGCCACAGCAACTCCGCTCAACTGGGGGCTAATGTCCAACATCACAGGTCCTTGGAGGGTTATTTGGGACACTCGCCTGAAGGCTTTCTCACTTTCTTCACATTTTCTTGATGGGGCTTTTTGCAGCAAATCCCATTGCCACCCCGAAGAGTGCAGAGGCATCCACCAAATGAGCGAGCCCATTGCCAGGTCTTCCCCTTGTCCAAAAGCGAAGGCCTCATGTTCTCAAGCAACTTTCTCTGTTTTGTTTAGGCCTGGCAGGCGTTGCATATCCGCCCACTCAGGCTCCAGTCACACCTTTTTCAGGTCATCCAAACGCCAATGCTGTACTTCCGTCATCTGGATCATTGTGGTGAGCGTGTCTTGAAAAATGTCCTGCCTGCTGCGTCCTCATTCTTGCTTATGTTTGATTACGGTGACTTCTTCTACAGCTTCGTTTTGGACGACACGTAGAAGTCTCTTCCCATCATTTGTCTCGCCACCAACCGTCTCAGGCCATTTGGACTTGGCTGCGTTCCGCCTGTGCCTGTGCCGCTTGCACCGCCTTTGCCGTCGCTGCCGAAGCAGGAAGAGGCTGCGAAGCAGGTGGCTCAAAGCAAGTGCTCCAGCCAGTCTATAGTTATAGTTACCGTCACAGTTTAATTTTTCTCCATGGGTTTAGTCGGATTTTACACCGGCTTCGTATAGATTCTATAGACCGTGGAGACTCGATTGCTTGTTGCTCAATATATATAATTAGACAACCCCACAGGACCCCGCGCTTCAATACCTGCCTTCGGATTTATAGAGCTTCTCCAACTGCAAGAGGGCAAGGCAGAGGAACATCATGGGGTGTCAAGCTTGGGGAACCTCAAACAAACATCTTCAGCCAAGAGAACAGACCCCCATGCAATTCAGACCCAAGCGTACTGGAACCTGGAATCATAGGCACAGGACACTCTGGACACCTTGAAGATTTCTCGTTCAATTTGACAGTGAACTCCACTGTCCAGCACCCAGTGAGTTTATTTTTTTGTTTCCGAAAGCACAAGATGGTCAACGCTCCCGGATTTGGAGGAGTGCCACCACCTGTGGAAAGCTTCTTTTAAGATCGGCACTTTTCAAGCTATCCTCTTGGCTCTTCTCAGTCTCTCCCAAATCAGCCAGAACTCTGAGCCTAGGTTTCAGTACAATCCATATCAGACGTTTTGTTTGTGAGTGTCTTTCTTCGATAGCCTTTGGCTCTTAATGGCATTGTTATGGAGAGGAATTCTCACTTTAAGACAGAAATGCAGTGTTTTGTCTGCTGTGTGCAATCTTGCCACTTCTTTTCCTGCAAAGCCATGCTCGTCCTCCTATGTTGTGGGGCAATCGGCATGGCGTCCATGTTGTGGGGGCTTGCTTTTGTGCCTACAGGTTGATTCTTATCATGGACAAAAGTAGTAACAATCGGGTTTTCAAGAGCAACCTAGAGAAATCATCCCCTGCTTGTTTTCCTGCAGCGACCGTCTCAGGTGGAACCCAACGAGGTGTCCCAGGACGCTTCGGCACCGATCGAGGCGGGCGACTCCACGGGACGGGGACCCTGCGACGAATAAAACTACAGGGAATCTATACAAGGACAGGTTAGCTCAAAAACAATACAAGGCACGGTGATGCAACTATGGCAACTATGGTTGTACGCCCAAGAAGCAGAAGATTCTGCTGGAAGCACAGTAGTCCCAATGCAACATACAAACACAGATTACGTCCCAATAGTCCCAGTAGAAGCAAACCAAAACAAATGCCGCTGCCAACGCGGCAAATACAGTCCGACCTGAAACCCACCGTTGGAAACAACCCTGGCCCAAAAATGCCTCTCCCACATATGCGGTTGAATGTCGAATACATGTTACCTTGAGGCCTACATTGACGTCATTGGTTGATTGGTAGGTTGGGAGGTTCCTTATCTGCATGTTCTCGTGCAATGTCAATCCTGGTCGCACCACCCGCCAGACCGTGGCCGATGCGATCGATCGCTTCCTTGACACCGTGGACTGACGCTGGTTTTGCGTCACACCGGCGGTGGGCAGATCCAACGAATGGGGAAGTAAGAACGAGACTCCCTTTTCACCAGTGTCTTAAAGGAGGATGATTTTCTAGTCTGCAGCTTGTGCAGGGCCCAAAACCTGTGGGCTATGTAGGTCAAGTATTTGAGCTGCAGCGTACAGTGGGGTTTGCCCTCTGTTTGGATGCGGGTTCAACATGGGTTTCGAGCTCCTGCGCCCCTGTGCGCAAAAAGATGGAAGGCACAGGAGGCAACAACAGAAGTAGGAAGAGAGGCAGATTTAGCTTGGTTCGGACCACTATACTTGTCGTGTGAGAGGCGTAGACAAGTCTCTTCTACACAGCAGGATCAGGAGGTTACACGAGGTTTCCTCATGTCTCGTGATAAGCAGGCTACAGGCTCGTGTACATTTACTCACCTTGTCAACACATCCATCTAGTTTTTGAGTTTTCATTTTCCCACTGACCGACACGTATCTGACTTCTTCACAGGACGAGGCCAAAGAGAAGTTGAAGATCCATATGCAGTGTCTCTGATGCAGAGAGGGTCCATATGGGAGGATCGCATCATTGGTCCTGTTTTTTCGCTCTGGATTGCTGTCCATGGATGATCCGATTCGCCCTCGAAAGCATATCTTTGAGGGAATTCCTTGTGCCCTCCGGCAGCCAGAGGAGAAAACCCAGGTTGGAGGCGCTGGTGCCGGGTTGCTTGTGCTTTGTGCCGGTGCCACTGGTACCCAGAAACGGGTGACTCGGTGCACCGGTTTTGCGAATTGATTGGCTCGCCGGCCCGTGGATATTCACCTCTGGGTCCAGATTTCTCTGTGGCTTGGAAGGTCACGCTGGACGTGGCAAGGAAACTGATTCGCAAGTGCTGGCCTTGGATAGATGACGGCCGTCCTCGATGAGCCCTCTTCATCTTGTGAAGAATATATAAGAATATGGATGTGTATGAGAATGCCTGTTTTGCGACAAACGGATTTCACCAGAGACCCCCCCGTGTGAAGCTGACATCAAACCAACCAGATCAGTACGTGGCCATTTAAAGCAGTCGGGTTTTGACATTTGAGACCATTGCCATGTGTTCACCTCCGGATTAATCCTTTCTTGAGCACTTTCACAGTGCAACCAAGAGCACTCTGGTGGGTTTAGCATTATGTTATATACTGAATTGCAGTGGTTACGTTTACTTTTTAAGCTCCAGAGGTAGTATATATGCAGATTGAACTTGGTGACCAACTTAGTAACGAGAGTCACCCGTGAGAAGTGGTGCATGGCCGACAGCACCGATTCGGGTGATGAACCGACCTTGCGCCGAGGGCTGAGGAGAGCTTGAGCGAGTTGATGCCCGTGGAGCCTTTGGAGGCTTCCAAGCAACTCTTTTGCTGGACATGCTTTCTTTATGGCTCATAAAGAAAGCTCATTTGGTACCCACAGAAGCTAGTTCTCCCTTTTTTCGTTGACATTGGGATGGCTGACGACGTCATTGGTTTTTGTTAATGGCCCGAAGAGAGGGTATCACCATGCAACCCGTAGGCGGACCAACATTTCCGAACCTGTGGTCCTCCTGTCTCCATGCTTGCCCTCCTACCTTCAGTCGCCATACCTAGGGATGAAGGTGGCGCAAAACAGTAAGACCAGGCCCACAAATCTGCGGGCTCTAGCCATGTGTTCCATTTACCAAAGGATTCTAGGGGTACCATATTTGCGCCGGCCACATGTGGAGTTTTGCATGAATTGCGTCTTTTTGCACCGTCCAATCATTGTCTGCCGACCGATGGCAGCACGTCCACGAGATGCCCTCTTCTTTGAAGGCGGGGTTCCCGCCCGACCCAGAATGACAATGTCAAGCTGTCCACTGAGTGAGCGGAACATTCTGCCGAAGAACTGGCTGCGAATTACTCGTTATCGCATGTGATACTATGCAGCACTTGTCATCACTTGTCATCAAAAAGGCAATGAAAGCTGGGACGTCTTTGCTACTGACAGGCTTCGCCAACCGGCAACGCCCCTGGGGGGACTGCGCGTATCCGCACGCTCTTTGCACAGCAAATCCGACGAGGAGCACAGCTTCTTACGCCTGCGCATACACTCCCACACAGGTGTGCGCACGAGGGTCTGATGGAAAAAGCCTGGCAACCTCAGCTTCAGACACACGTACGCGCATGCACACCCGCACCCGCACCCGCAGGGACACGAACGCACACGCACTCGCGCACACACACACACACACACACACGTGCGCCGGCTTCTTAAAATATCAGGACTTTGTATTGGAAAGCGTTGAAAAGCTATTTTCAATATTTTTGAGCGTTTTCTAGCCTGAAGCTATCTGCGTTTAGACTAGAAAATGCTCAAGAATACAATGTTTTTCTAGCGTTTTCCACTCAAAGTTCTGATTTTTGAAGAAGCCATATAAGCCCAGGTGGTGCTAGAAATGTCGGTCGCAAGCCGACATGTTGAACATCACCAGGACGTATGTATTTATTTGAGGGGAAAACGTCAAAAAAAGCATAGGATAAATGATCAAGAGAAGAAAGTATGCTAAGAGGAGAGGAAATTTTGAGGTAGCAGTTGTGTCGAGCACCACTGGCAGCGAGCAGCATTCTTCATAAACTACATACATTTTGCAAAAACACTGCAATTTGCAGTTTTTTGCGCCTAGTCATACACCAAAGGATTTGCATCTTTCCTGCTGAGACTTGATGCCAACGATGCTCGACCAAAAATTGTCCTCAAAGTGTTTTGAAGCTATAAGCTTTACAGTGGCATTTCTTGATCTTGTTTAAGCAAGACCTAGCTTCCTACCACTTCCCAATTGTTCAGCAGTGGTGGAATTAACCTCACTGGACACAGCAGCCTCATTTCTCGAAGGGTGCACAAAAGAAAGAAGCTGCTGCTAATGTTTTCGAACAAATTGCTTGTGAGTTGATGAGTGCACAGGAACAAAGGTAACATTTAAGTTGCAAAGCGCTGTTACAGTATTACAGCTGTGTTCATTGGATCTTGTCATGTGTATTATTGTATATTCTGAAAGGCCAGAGCGCATAGCTCAAAAAGTTCAATTAGTCCAGGACGATCATGTCATCGTATGTTCCCCGGATGTCCCGTCTGGTGGTAGAGGATGATGACGATGGATTGCTAGGTCAATTTGACAGTCCGTCCGCCAGCCACCGCACAAGATCACGTTCGAGAATGAGAAGTGGTCAAGTGCGTCCGCGAGAAGGAACCACTTCAGATTTGGATCATTTTCTCCTAGTTTTTGACGTTTTTTGACGAAGCCGCATGAGCCCTGGTGATGCTAGAAATACGGGTCGGCGGCAAGAGCGCGTCTCCGTATAGCAAACTAGGTTTGATACTGGTACCGGATGGGGACGTGTTGAAGTAGGTAAAGTTGTGATGGAAGTCGCAGGTGACGAGGCGCAACACGTTGGAATTGTGACTGTATGGCGGCAAGGTTGGGGACGGGAAGCTTCGAAATGCCAACGCGGGCCCACAACACAATCATAGGGCTCAGCCCATGGATAAGCTACTCCAAGGCCCCAAGACACTGTGAGTGAGGCGGCGGCTGAATCGCGACTTCTGAAGCGCTTGAAGAGAAGAAGGATGTAGACGTGGCCAAGCTCCGATGGGACACTTGGGGTGAGCAGGAGCCAATGTAGGTATATAACCTGTCAGATGTGTGTGTGTGTGTAGGATGTGGAAGGATTTGCTGAAACTTTCAACCAACAATGTAGATACAGTATCAAGCTTACTTGGCAGTAAACATCAGCAAACAATCGAAAACCTAGTGGGAGAGGAGGGTTGGGGAGGAGCCCGGGACCATTAACGTGCTTGCTTTTTGGCGCGGGAAGGCAGTCGGCAGGGGAGTCGAGCCCGGGACCATCTGGGAACGTGCTTGTTTGTCCGACCCATTAAGTACCCCTAGCCAGCCTGCCGAAGGGTAGGGGTGAAAGCGCCGACCACGCCGCGCCCCACTCCCATGACAGTCGTTTCCACATGATTGATGGGGTTGGCGGATTTTCGTGGACGTTTCGCGCGCCGCTTGCTTGGCACAGTCTTGATCAACACTGCGTCTCGGGGAATCATATAAACTTGATTTATCGTGCGCCTTGCAGCCTTCGAATGTGTGTGGCGTTTGCAGTGCTGCGGACAAGCTATGGCTGAGAGATGCGAGGTCGCAGGCTTTCTCTCCAACCCGACCTTGAATCAGGCCAGGTTGCAGTCAGGTGCATTTGGGACAAGTTGTGGGCTGAAGGCCTGAATCCATGTATAAGATGTTTGCTTTCTTTTCCTAGACAGGTCAAGTGCAGATTGGATTGTAGAGATGATATGTTGCGCGTTTGGAAGTGGGGGTCCATCAAGATATCAAGTTCGGAAGGCGGGCAACTCCAAGGGACAGCTTGAACTGATCAATCATCGATCCCTTGCAAGTCGGTGAGCGATTCCATCGGGGTTCCGAAGCCCTTGATCCATGTGTCCGTAACTTGCACGAACCTGCTGAACATTTGGATGGCCAGGAATACCATGTGGATCCTGAGTCAAACTTGAATGAGATGCCAGTCTATTGGTCCCAGGTGGGCCGGGGAAGCACCGCTTGATGTGTGGTGTGTTGAACAAGATCCGAACACCCGAGTCTCTATCGCGATGGTGTCTTGAGACATCCAATTGAGCTGGTCAAAGCCAGACCCACAATTCGATGGGGAGTTTGCGGCCTGTGGAAATCTGGTCAGAAACAACTGTGACAGGAATGAACACCTTATGATGTCATTTGGAGTGATCCGCGATGTTTTGGTTCACCACCTCTTCGTCTGAGGATAAGAACTTCTTCATGTACCGCGAGGCGGCGGTGGCCAAAGTCAGGACAATCTGGACCCGGACGGATGGCCCGGGACGGTGCTGATGTCAGCTTTTGATCCATCATCCGCGATGGATCTCAGTCTCGGATTCCTTGAGGTTTGGAGTCAAAGCGGATCCAAAGTATCCACCCGGTCTTCCTGCCGCGAGGCGAAGCATGGTGGCTGGTTGATTGGTCCGGCCGAGAGCAAGGCAGACAAAGGGCTGCACAGAGATCCAACACGTAGTGTGTTGTGGCACGTTGAAAGTCGACAGTTTGATCGTCATGAAGTTTGTCAAAGTGAAAGCGAAGGGATTATATAATCAAAGTTGGGTGAAATCCAAGGTATCCACTAGATATCCTTGAGGAGGAGGATTTCTGCGACATTTCGGGACAAATCTTTGAAGGTGTTTGTGGTTTCAAGTGCCTCAGGGGATTGCTCCATGCAAAAAGGTCGGCGTAGAGAGAAGGACCTGCCGAATCTCGTCTATCCTTACGTCTGCCAGGACGCTGCCCGCTGGGGCGATCCCACCTCTGTGGCCTCTGAAAAACCAGAGGCGAGGACGTGGAAGAAGCTGGTGAGGATCTCCCTCGTCTAGTGCAGAAGCCAGTTTGGCATTTTGAATGGCCGGCTTTTTGGGCCTCTACAGTCTACAGATTTGGAGGTTTTGTGGAAATTTGCTGGGACCTTGGTACTGGGGCTTTGCAATGTTGAGCCTCGAGCAAGGTGAGGATTTGTGGGGATCTGGTTTCCTTGCATGGATGTGTTTCCAGGATCATCCAAGAATTGCACGAGGAATTTATCTACCCCTCCTTTATCCACGTTCTGTTCACTTCTGTATGCAAAGAACATACGAACCAACTGCCAACCGTTTCCACGGCTTAGTGGTCAGAAGATTTCAATGGCGACCTTTCCTTTCTCGTGAGATTTCTGACCGGTCAGATTTCCTTGTCCCCTTTCCTCGTCCCGGTTTGGATGCCCACCATTGTAGGTGCCAGGCGAATGGCTGGAGTTAGACCCTCGTGGAGTCTGGGAGTGCAGGTTGATCCAGTGCGGGAACTTGTGTGGAGCGGTGGGTGGGGCAAAGAGGATGCAGTCGCAGGCGTAGTGATGGAGCAAGTGCTGGAACATCCCCCTCGTGACTAAACTCTAAGCCGGATTTCATAGAACACCTCAGCGCAAAGAATTTAATTGTATAGAAGAATCTGGATTGCACTTGTACGATTATTTTTGGGTCCTACCTCCAAAGTGAATCAGACGAGTCTTGCTTCCGTCCGACCTGGACAGAATGGGAGTCCTATTGAAGTATAGTAAGCAGTCGAGTTCTAATGTTAAGTTTCTGTAAAAATCTAGGAACCAAATCATTAGTGCGAGCGCTTCTTCAAGGAAGCTTCGCGCCGCCCTAAGGGGGAGCTTCCTTGAAGAAGTGTGAGCTATCCTGCGTCCATACGTAGTAGTAGGTACTAGCTACCGTTTGCTACTACTGGCTACCTACCTCTAGCTACTTCCTACCTACCTCACCGACCTACCTCCTAGCGACCTACCCCCCTGGTCTTTAAAAAAAGAGTTTAGTATTAGAGAGGAGTGGCCAAAAAAGAACACATATTGTGCCTGTTGTACCAAAGAATCTGGATTTGGACTCCCGTCAGCTCACAGAAAAGCCGCGAGAATCACGAAGGGTTTTGGTCTTTTCGATTCTTGCCGGGTGCCCACAAACCACGAAAAAACCACGATCGATCACCAGAAACAGGTTACAACCAACAGGTTGAGCAAATGGTCAAAAACAACGCACCACAGATTGGGAGGAAGCGGCAAATCACTCCTAGACATCGATGAGGGCAGAGCTGGCCCACAGAACACAGCCAATCACCACCAATCAGCCGTTCTGGACAGCAAACTTGACACCAATTGTGAAAGCTTCTAAAGCAGAATCACCATTGAAACACTTTTGAAGCATGTCTGAACAACGCCCATCATTAGGAAAGAAATTGCCTTGCCGCTTTCCTTTCAACTTCGTTGGTGGGAAGAACGACCATGCATGACCACGCGTGAGGTGTCAGGCCTTCATGCCAGACCTTCGGCAGCCAGTGACGCCTCCCTGAGGCATGGAATAGCAGGGTGGGAAAATGGTGTCTTCAGAGAAGCTGAGGTGCATTGTGGCGTCCCACTTTTGTTCTCTTGGATGCGAACGTTCGCAAATGAAGGTGATGATTTGCACTCTTCGACTGATACTGTTTTCAGCTTGAGGAAACTGAAGCAATGAAGATGCAAGCGCCAAAAAGATTGAGACCAGCACACCATGATTCTTTTGCGGTTTTTCGAGATATCAGACTATATATCTTGATTACAGTGCAGGGAAGTCCACTTCCAGTGTGGCCTGAGTATGGTCGGTCAAGCAGGATTGAGGTAGTCGCTCTCTCTGTATATAAACTATAGATGATGGATGGATGGATGGATCGATAGATGGATAAGAAAAGATAAGAATAGATAAGAATAGATAAACATAGATAATATACGATAGTATTAGATTGGATAAGATTAGATCGTATTGGATATATATATATATATCTATACAAAATAACTAAGATAAGATTGGATAATATTAGATAAGAATAGATAATATCAGATGCGATAAGATAAGTAAGATTAGATGAGATTAGATACGATTAGATAGATACGATAGATAGATTTAAATAGTATTAGATAGATTTAGATTTAGATTTATATATATATATATAGATAGATAGATATATTCATAGACAGATGGATAGACAGATAGACATGTTTTTGTTAGCAGTCTTGGCGAGCTCAACACTTCCAGAGACGGTCCGCATTTCCTGTTTCCTTCTTCTTCCGAACCTTGTGGCAGCCACGCAGTGTGTGGCAGATCCGCCGCAGGGTGCAGACCCTGAGTGGATGCCGAGGCCAAAGATAAGCCGAGAAAAAGGGCCCCAGATGTCCAAGCATCTTGTGCCAGAGATTAGACAGAGGGAGAGAGAAGGATAGATCGTGTGCGCCCTGTATCATGGTTCCATTGCGAATCGTCCTCCCTGTGACCTCCTTTTGGCTCAGCGGAGTTCAATTTTGTTGATGGATAGCTGTACAGGTTTTCATGGCTTTTGGGGGGCTGGGTACCGCTATTTTTTCCATGCTCAGCTGTGTAGCATTCTACACAGTCTCAATCAATGACATTCAAGGATATTTGTCTCACCACCTAATGCAGCAATACACAACCCAGTTTTTCTTGGGTGAGGTTCATCATGCATGGATAACATGACAAAAACTTTTTTCACTCATAACGGATACAAACGATCCAAGATGTGTCTGCTGAGCATCCTGACATTGGCCGCAACTGCCGGGGGCTCGAAGCTTGGCGGGCTTTTGTTTGTGATACCTGGAGAAGCTTGAGTACATCTCACAGGTCTTGATTGGAGTTTGCTCCTTTGTTCCAAACCATGACCAACATAGGGTCTTGATGCATGTCCAAGTTCTCTTCTAAGTTGCCCCTTCCGAAACGCAGGTTTGCAGTTTGCAGATGTAGAATTGACAAACAACTTCAAAGCTTACAGGCATTTTGAGCATCCGAGCGGTCAAGTCACAAGTGACTTAAGTCAATGGTCCTGCTACTCAGGTTGGACTGTTTGAAAGGGGCTTTCATCACTGAGCGGCCGTCCTTCTGCGTTTTGCTCCATTTTGTCAGGGCTCCAGCACTCGCGCCGGGACAAAATAAGCCTTGCTGATCTCGCCATGGCTGACAACCCAGTTTGGAAGGCATGCAAGCCCTTCGCCACCGGCTCGCTGTCGGGGATGTTCGCGACCTGCTGCTGGGCGGCGTGAGCGGGTCTGACGGGCTGGTGGGGTGCCAGACAACGAGCTGCCTGGTATTGGGTCAAATGGCGATACCCGTGTTCAAAGATTGGAATTGATACAGGGAAGGGCGGAAGGTATCGGAAGGCAATTATTTGATAGGGGCTGGCCATTCTGGACATGCTTTGCAGAGTGTGAGGATTTGATAGGATTTGCCATATTCTCCCGTATTCTCCCTTCTTTTACTCTGGCAACGAAGCAATTGGGAGGTCATACTGTCGCGTTTGACCCACTTGAGTTCCCCTTGTAGTAGGGGCAGATGCCAACTCTGTCTGGGCATGCAGGAGAAGCTTGAACACGACTGACATGGCTGCTAGAGATAAGCATCCACAGTAGTTTCACCCAACTTGCTATTTTTGTTTGCCTGGACCGCTCGATCTTGCTACGATCGGTTTCTCTGATCCGTTGCTTCCTTATTCAATATGTTCTTCACGCACCTAGGCTGTATCCAGCCCATCGACATGGTCAAGGTGCGCATTCAGCTCACAGCAGGCACCGCTGAAGCTGCAGGCCCTATGATGCTTGGCACAGAAGATCGAATGCTGAGTGAGTAATTGATGAACACATGTCGTACTGTTGGAACCGATGAAGCCATTTTCGAGGATTTTCTTTTTTGCCAAAGAGTACTCTATTTTGCTTTATCTAAACCGCAGTAGTGGTTCCCGGCTGCAAAGAGTTTGTGTATTCTCCGGGTGTGTTTCGGATTGGCAGGACTGCCTAAATCCAGACTGCCTAAATCAGTTTGTTTGTTTCATTTTCAAGTACTGGTTTCCATTGTCTCTCGATTCTTGGCATTTTCAAGTACTGCCAAGGACCATTGTCTCATCGATGCTGAAGAATGAGGGCATTGGTGCCTTCTACACCGGTTTGACCGCAGGACTGACTCGTCAGGTGGTTTACACCGGAGCACGTTTGGGGCTCTTCGACCAGTTCACAGGCATGGTGACTTGGCTGGATCCGTCGCAGGACCAAATGACATTCACCATTTGTCGGATCAGGACCCTCCCGAGTTTTTTTGGAGAAGGCGCTAGTAGGAACAAAGGGCATCGCTACAGGGGCTCCTGGCCTTACTACTAGGAACAAGAAGCTACTAGGGGCTCCTGGCATCGCTACTAGGAGCGATCGCAGGCTACGAATGGGGCTCCTGGGCTGGTCGGAATTGAAGTGAAAGGTCATGATGACTCCTGGCTCCACAATGGTATGTGCATCAGGTTTTGGTTTGAAACCAACCGATGGCAGGGAAGGTTGATGTGTTGCGTTTGAGCTCTACCTCATGTAAGTCACAACCAGTTGAGCGTCATGGCGTCATTCAACTTGTTCGGCTCAACCGGGGGATGATCAGGATACTGGCCAGGTCAACAACGTAAACAGGGTTGGGCAATTCCTGAAGACGTCCACTGCATCCCATGACTCTGACAACGTATTGGCGTCCCCACTGTGACTGAACCCTTCCTCCGAATGGTACCAGAGCAGTTTGGAAAGCCAGTATGCTCTACACAGTGCATTTACTGTCCTTTGTTTTTTGTCCTCTTCACTTCTTGCTGGGGGAAAGAGCTGCATCAAACACCTGATTTGCTGCAGGTGGTTGGTAACCAGTCAGAACCTACCGGATTCGTTCCTGGATTCGCTCCCATTCTTGGCCAGGTCAAGAAGCCTGGTAAGTCGCTCTCCGTGGTGGAGAACGGTGGTTGTGCGCTGGCGGCGGGCGGTTTGGCCGCCTTGATCGGGAACCCGGCGGACTTGGCGCTGATCCGGATGCAGGCGTGCTCACTGCCGCCCTGGGTGTCCACTCTGTCATTTTGTTGTGCACAGTTTGGTCCAGTGTGGAATTTCTATGAATTTTGGGGAAACAGGTGTCTTGTGTTTCCAATCACTATATACTGGTGGAAGTTTCCGCGATGGATGAGAAAGAGTAGAGAGTCTACAAACACTTGCATTTGGATGGGCAAGTGCATATATATATATATTATATATATCTTCCTGAAAGCCCCAAGTATTTTGTAGACACACGCTGCGGACACATGCACACGGGTTCGGGTCAAACCGGGCACAATATGGAGTCGCCTGTTGTGACAGTCGCTCAGGGTCAAGATAGACAACACAGAGTATGCCTTCGGCAGTTTCATGCTGTCATTGCTTTGCTCAGACGTAGAGGTCAAGAAGTGGTGTTCGTCAAGCTCTGTCACAGAGGGAACTGCCAAAAGACACGCGGGATTAGTGGATGCTGATTCCCAGCCAGGATGAACATGTTTTTATATTGTCTATCACTCACTCGGTATGTTTCCAGTTCCTTGACCCCTCACTGAAGTCACTTGACATATTCATGGCATGCGCTTCAGCACTCCGTCCTTTTTGCCATCCGTGGCCTTCAGGCCGACAGCATGAAGCCAGTGGCTGAGCGCCTCGGGCCAGTGCGATCAGTGTGTTTTTTTTCAGGCAAAAAGACTAGGCCAAATGCTGGCTTTCATTGTCTTGATATGTCTTGTCATGGGTCTAAAGAGTCGCAGGGGGACCTCAGTCCCCCCCACAAGCTGACAAGCTATGCTTCAACTGAAGCATCACCAGTTTGTACTCAGATGTTGGCTTCGGATGCACCCTTTTCGCAAAGAATTGGTTGTGCTCTTTGCGGAACCTTGCTCTTTGTGTGGACGAAAGCACCACAAAGAGCTTTTCCTCCTCAAACCTAGAGGTTGGCAGGGCGTGTTCTTTGAAGCGCTCTCGGGTGTTTTTTAAGCGACGGTGAGCTTGCTTCGTGTTTAGTTTCCAAACATCATCAATGCCGGACGCCAGCCAGTCAAAGCCCAGTGCATGAGAGGCTTCTTATAAACTGCAGCCCAGGGAGGATAAGATCTTGCCGTCCGGAAATCTCTCCTCAGAATCCGTTGAACAAGCCACCTTAAAAAGTGTTACACATGAATACGGTGAGCCACCTTTCTGTGTGGGACAGTGGGAGAATAAGACTCTCACAATCTCACATAATCCTTCCTAGTTTTGTTTTTGTTGCCTGTGACTCTGTTCTTCCCGCCAAACTTCTTTGTTGCCTAGGAGAGCCGGATACAGCAACGTCTTCACCACCATGGGAAAGATCGTGGCCAGTGAAGGGCCTCTGGGCTTGATGGCCGGCGCGGCGCCCACGGCCACTCGTGCCATAGATGCAGCGAGGACCAGCCCGCCGTTCCGAGGTCCGAAGGGGAGCGGGAACCACCGTTTGGGTGAAAGCGTATGGTGAAAGCGTTTGGAATGAGACAAGTATATGATTTTGTTGATTGTTTTGAATGAGTATTTCTATGTACATTATTGTGCATGACACTGTATCACTATATGACAGAGAATAATCACTCTGTGCGCGTAATATGAGAGTTGAGTATTGGTGGATGTACATGGGGGCGCTAACATTAGCGCTAGCAACTTTAAGTTCAATAGGTCTTGGAACACTCCCCCAGGGGGCCCCCTAATCAGCGCCCGCCCATGTATATATATATACACATGTATATATATATATATACATATTACATATAACTACATATAACTATACAAGTTTGTTGGAACTTCTTTGTAGTTCATGGGGCGGAAGCTCTTGATATGTTCCCAACCACTAGTGGGGATCAGGGACCGGTAGACCAGCACCTGACGGGAGGCGAGCTCTGTGAGTTCCTGCCACCCACAGGTGCCATGGCTCTCAACTTGGGAATGTTGGCCGGCAATTCCATCGCCAAGGCGGGCCAAGACATCGCAGTGTTCTTCAGGGATCAAGACCATGACTCATCTGCAGTGGAATATTAGACGAACGAAGACGTTATAAAAGGAGGAAAAAGCAGTCGCGCACCACCTGGGATGCTACAGATTGCCATGGATTCACAAATGTTGAATCTCCATGAACCCCTCTCACAGGCCAGATAGAACTCGTAGCTGGATGGACCTGGATGGATGTTGTTGGACATGAGCTGAAGGTTCAGAGGTAGCTTCAAGCTTTATCAGTCTTTATCCATTTCCTTCAAGTCATCCATGGTCGAGTCATCCATGGGTCGCGTCGCTCGAGGACGTCGAAGGGCTGACTGTTTGGACGCCCGAAGAACCTGAGGACAACCTTGCGAGCTTTGGAGTCACTGGTGGTCCTCTGGTCTTTGGTGCCTCCGCGATTGTGGCTTGGAAAAGGAGATGGCGGGAGATGGGTTTAGAATTGACCTGATCCTGGAGGGTCAAAAAAGGACTTCTGCTGGTTGAAGTCATTGCTCCCCTGAAATGTCATGATTTCTGCCCCAATAAACCCATCCACTGAGCTGTGAAGCACAGGGGAACTCCTTTCTGTTTGCCCAGGCGGGCTTCTTCGCGTCCTTCTTCTCCTTGCCCTTTGATTTCGTGAAGACACAGATGCAGAAGCAGAAGAAGGATCCTGTGACAGGCTCAACTCGGGGGGTTTGGAAGTTGAGAACGACTAGACGTAACTAGGGACAGATAGAAGGACTTCCACGCCTCATCTGGCCGAATTGGACGTCGTTCGAGGGTCAGAGCACTTCCATGGAAGCTCCTTTATTTTGTGTGCCATTGCAGTGACTTCAGGGAAATGAGTCGCAAAACGCCAATGTGCGGGGCTTTTGAAGCAGGATCCCTCGCAGGGCATGTACGAGATGTATGGGGTTGATGCTAATCACCCGACCAACTGGATGGGTTTCTATGAAATCTCGCTGCAGGTGAGCTGCCTTACAAGAGCTCCTTGGCGCGTTCGAGTGAGCGAAGAGTGATCGAAGGGAGGATGCAACCTCTGTACGTGGTGACCGTGACGATGAAGAAGTATCCTCAAGACTGCAAATTGCCATGGACGTAGGCGATGAAATATGAAACGGAGGAAAAGAAAGATGACATCTTCTGGCCACCATCGAAGGACATGCCTTGACTCTGTGTTCCATATGGGTATTTCCGGAAGTCTTCAAACATATAGACATAGACTCCTTGATCCGAAACTTGTTTGATACTGGCAGTAGCGTGTGTTGAAATCCCTAGTGGCCTGCTTGTCAAACACAATGACTTGCACATTTTATTGGAGATGGAGGGGAAGGCTTAACCAACAGCTCTAAAGGTCTGGCTGCCTTTGGCCCTCAAAGCATTCTTATTCTGATTCTCGGGAATCCGCAGCACCACTTTCTCTCCCCTTCCCTAACATAGCAGCCAGCTGGAAGACGAAGATCCTCTTTCATACCCACACCCACTTGCAGGCTGGCAAACACCCTTCGTGATGGCACACATCCTGCGACCCTGTGACTGAGGCTCCATCGACTGTGCCACGAAGATCATGGCAGAGGGTGGCCCCTTGCGCTTCTACGCCGGCTTCCCCACCTACTACGTGCGCATTGCGCCCCACGTGACCAGCAGAAAGAAGGGGTGATTTTGATTTCGGGCGCGTACCGTTGCGTGAACCATTTTGATTTCTTTGCAAGTGTCAAGCGATGGCAATTTGGTTTGGGGGATGCCTGCTCTCTGTGGCAAAGGCAAGTGCTTGTGCGTTTTGAATGCAAGTTGCAGGAATCACTTGGATCCAGTTTGCTTTGTTGATCATGTTACTTGCAACGTCAAAAGTCAATCATCGCCATTTACTTTTGGATTCTGTGCGACGCACGTCACGAGGTTCAACCTGCCCTTTTGTGCACACAGAGCGGTCGGCCACTATATAGTCTTCTGAGTCTGCCTTCAGTATTCGCATTTCTTAGGCCATGCTCACCTTGATCGCACAAGACTTCATCAAGAAGAGTTGCTCGGCTGACCAAAGACTCAACATCCAGGACATGTATGGAATTGCTCAGGAGTGAAGGGCACTGTCCGCCAATCTCCGCCAAGCGGCATACTCCAGGTCCACTCAGTTCATGAAATCTCGCTCTCAGGCTCTGTGGGTTGATGCCGCTTTTTTTGACTCCAGCCCTTTCTCCAAAACTCATCTCATGGGTTGAGGGCCTGCAGGGCTCCGCTCGGGGTTCACGGAGTTTCATGGCACCCAGCGAGACGCCGTGTTCCCCACGAATCGCCCGCAGCCGATGGCCCACGGCGGTCGGGCTGTTTTTAGCCAACAGCCATGCCAAACACAATCATATATCCAATCCTAAAACCCATACATATTCTTACTATACGCCACTCTAAAACAGCAAGCCAGTTGTTCTCTTGAGCTATGTCATCAAATCTGCTACAGCATTTGCAGTTTGAGCATTCTGCCAGAGCTTCAGCCTGGCTTAAGCGAAGCATACATGGTTCGAAAGAATAAACATGCAAGGCAATTGTGGCCCGGCCGAAGACCTTCAACCAGTTTCGTTTTCAGTGCTGATAGGTTTTGTGGGTGGCTGGTTTTTTTTCAGCGAAGAAAAAGGACGACTTCCAAGAGGCCCCGGGATGGGGGGGGCCCGGGATGGCCCTGACAAGCCGAATTTCGGTTGTACCAAGTTCAACGCCTGGTATTTGTTTGCTGGGTTGGAGGCCATCGCTAGTAGGCCATTGCTTGGTGTCTTTCGGTGACGCCGAACGGAACGGAGCCATGGAGAACGTGGTGAAACCACAGCGCAAAGTGAAGCCCTTCCGCCAGAAACTGAGACGTCCGGAGGGGCGGAGCTATTTGCGGGCCTTCACCTACGAGGAGTGGCCCAAAGAAGGGCTGTTTGAAAACACGGCTGTGAATCCAAGGTCAAGTGGAATTTAAAGGTCATGGTGAAAAGCGAGTCAAATGGTTCCCCATGGCCTCCCGTGAGTACTTGACTTGTTCTTATTCTTGGCACTGGAGGTATGATTGAAAAAAAGAGAGAGAGAGAGAGAAGAGAGAGAGAGAGAGAGAGGGAGAGAGAGAGAGAGTGTGCGTGAGCGTTCTTGGGTATGCAATGTTTGGTGCAACACATCACAAACCACTGTAAATCAAGGCACTCCATGAGGCCGAGGCCTGAATTTTTTGCACCATTTTTCACATGCACAATAGACACACCACTGGTGCCTTCTGTTGGACAACATCGTTTTCATTCTTTTTTCCGTTATTGTCAGTCAGCACCGTTATGGTCAGTCAGCAAATAACTTTTCGCAGCCATACATCCCATTTTCCAAAGTTTTTTGTGTGCATTTGGTACTGTAGCTTCTAGAAGCTTGGTACTGTATATATTTGCAGCGCTTTCTAGGTAAATCTCATGCAAATTTGCATCCCCATCGGTGCCCCTTCTCAAATTTATATATACCCCCCAAAGCACAATGTGTATGCAGTTTCATATTCTTTGTTTTTTAAGGTGCCGGGTAATACACAAAAATGGAGGAATGACAGCTTGTCTACTTGTGGCCGAAAACCAAAAACTTCAAGGTTTTGGGATGCGCACTGTCACGCTCGCCGGGATTCATTGGGGGGCTTGCTCGGCCCTGTGAGGATCATGTGGCTTGCTTTGCTCCGCCTTTCAACGAGAGTCGCTTGAGCGATTTAGTTCAGTTCTTTGGACTCTTTTTTGGAGAACGCATGGAGAAGATGATGGCCTCCCCACCTAAGAGCGGCCTCCAACCTAAGAGCGATGGACACCAACCTAAGCGTTTGGCCATCATTTTGACAACGAGAAATGAACAGGGAGAAACGCATACGCCTGATTGGCCTGGGCCAACGATTGATCGGGTTGATCGGTCCCAAAGATGGGGTTTTGAGACGTTCGGCTACTGCAACACCCAAGAGGAGAGCTGGCCTCCAAGCTCCATGTCTCTTCCTTGGAAGATCGTTTTTTTCAAAAGAACCCCTTTGATTGGACCGCTGAGGTAACCTTCCTGACCACTGGCCGGCGGACTGCCACGTCTCAACACTGCCCCGAGTGGGCTGGTTGCCTCCAGGCTGGGGACAAGCTTGGAAGGATGGCTGTGAGCCTTGGTGAAATGAGCTGTGAGCCTTGAGTCAAAATTATGGTTGATCCTGAGAATGAGCCAAACTGAACTAGCAGGTATCAAGCTCACATGGTATGGTGAACGCGCGTGAACGCGTGGGCGCCCGTTGGTGCACAAAGGGTGGGGCGTTTCACAGGGGCACCAGGGGGTCCAGGGCTTGACCACAAGAGTCCCAAAGAACACAGCACTCATATCTGTCTCGTTGACGCTGATGGACCGAGCTGGATTGTGGAGCACTTTTGCATGATCAGACGCAACAGCTTGTGGAGTTGTATTCACTCTTGGCAAGGACAGGAAGTTCTATGTGGCGCCAGCGTCTTTGGGGGCCAAGGCTGCTTGGCTAAATGTCTTTCAGCAGACCCACCTGAACCAGCTGAATCCCTATCTGCCCTGTTTGAACATTTGAACCAACTCTGGTCAGGTGAGGCTAAAGACTGATGTCGTATCGACATGTATTGAACTGGTTTCTTCTTTGCACTTCTAGTCGAGTTCCTATTTGAGTGACATCTTCCAATGGACTAAAGCTGAGATGGACACAACCCGTCCGTCCGCTTCCTTTGTGACTCAGTTCGTCACCAGTCACCGGCCAGTCCGTACGACTCATCTACGACTCACAGGGTACGGTTCCACCCGTACGCTGGTCGAACGGAACCAGGTGATGGTGAATAAGTTGAATGTGGAGCTGACCGTGGGGAAGAAGTTGAAGCCGATGGACCAGCATGGCGTCTTGCTCGGTGATGAGTACATCAGGCGAACGCGTCCACCCGGGCAGTCTGCGATGCGTTCGATGATGTCATGGCTGGGACGTGATGGGGTCCTTGAGGGCGACACATGACTGTCGACAGTGTACCGTGTTTCAATCTTCCAGGAACAGTCTGTTTGAACGGTCGGAGATCCCTTCGAAAGGCTGTTACTAGTGTTTCCACGAAAGCTGGACCCCAACCAATGCAAGTCTACCGCCAAAGGCGAGACAGTTTCGGAACTGTAAGACTGCAAGACTATGACTTTGGGGGACCAAGTCTGACAAGCATTAACACAGAGGGACAACCAAGCCACGAGGCTTCTAGGTGGGCAGTTCTCCTTTGATCGTTTAGGCCATGGGAACCTCCACGGAACGTGGCTGCTACCAGAGCCTCACCAGTTGATCTAGTTGTTCAGACAGTGTTGATCTCAAAAGACATGGGGGCCGACGACCCTGTCGGTAGGGAAAAGGTCGATTGAAGAGATAGTAACTCTTGAAATGATTTGAAAAGTAGGTGGAGATAGATCGGCATCGGGCCATTTGTTGGGGATAAACATCCATTCAAACACGGTCTGAATCTTTTCTTTGTTCATGAAGAAGCAGTGGCCCCATCGATGTGGTCACTTCCTTCGCCAGGAAGTGGCCGAACTGGCTGCCCAAGGATTGGCGCATCGCCTACTTTCGGTCCGCGGGAGGAGCACCGAAGCCCTGCTTCTTGAGCCCCAGGGGCGCGCATTACAAGGTGAGACGGACGGAATCAACTGACTGAAAACCTGGACAAAAGAAGGGGAGCGATCCTGGAGTTCTATCGCCTCTAAGCTGAAAGAAGTTGATTTTTCTGACAATTCAGGGCTGCTTCCACGTTCCATATGTTTGATGGCGATCTCCGTGATTCAATATGTGGCTAGCACAGTGATTCATGCACAAGTTGCGGCATTCAAGCCAGTTCAATAGCATCCAGCTTCAGGTTGCTGTTCCTTTGAGGTCCTCAGGTTGAGTCTTGTGATGGCTTCTGCCACCGGTCCAACCAATTCCAACTGCCCAAGCGTGTTTTCGGGCGACCCGGCCGCGACAGGATAAGAAGGCGGTCCTTGCGCAGAAGGCCAAGGAGAGGAAAGCAGCCCAGCTGCATTTGTGCAAAAAAAATCACCGAAAGGATACAGCTGATCAAATGGGCTGAACAAGGTGGACCCATGATGATCCATGGATCCATTGATTCCATTGTCAGTTCTACCTGTGCACATGAGGTGGACCAAGGTGAACCCTGTCTCGTTTAGGCAAAAACAATGAGCCATTACGAGCTAGACTCTTGCTGGGCTATACATAAAGGTCCCGAAATAGATCCAAATAGAACGGGCCCAGCACTCGTGTAGAGAAGATATGAGAGGAGGACTTTTTCGATCTATCTTTTGGGTCACAATAAAAGAATCCCAAGGACTCAAGGACATGTACATAGAGGATTCTTACTTTGGAACATAGATGGTCTTTTACTATTGTTCCATTGGTTGGTTGACTTATAGAGGGGGTACCACCAAGTGACAACCAATATATATATATATGTAATATCCAAACGGGTTTACTTAAGACAGTGCTTCGAAAGGCATCGTGTCTACTTTTACATGTATTTTATGTGGTTGTTCAATGTTATTTTTCCGAAACTTTACGCCATTGTTTGGTGCCATGTTCTGTTTGTTTTACACAGAGCACAATGGAATTTGGAATTCAGAACTGTCCCATTTTATCTGAGGGTTCGTCGCGCATCTGCGGTTCGGGGGGTGGGCAAGATGCTTGCATGCCTGTTGTTTTGCGCACACATGTGCCTTGGCACTATGCTTGCATTCGTACCGTCTACCGCGGACATGTGTCTTGAAAACCCGTCTGGAATTTAATATACCTTACATAAGATAGTAGGACTTAGGAAGATGTGCTGAAGTGACAGAAAGGCTTAGTTAAGATAGCGACCGTTATGGAACAGAGTGCTTAATGACCATCCCCAAAAACTTTCACTGTCTTAAGTAAACCCGGCGGCGGGATATATATATATATACAGTATCCCCTCTATTATTCCCAAGGGCGGACATCATTGCTCTGAAGTGTGTGGGCCGTTGCTCGCAGCTTTGAGGTTCAGCTCGGAAAGGCCGGCAGTGGCTCGCTGATCCTGGCCAAACGAGCCCGCAAGAGGCTGGCGCCGTTCCGGCGCAAATCCCAGGAACGGTCCCTAAGCTGCAAGAAATGGTCGGCCCGGTGCACTTCCAAGACATGGCACCCATTTGAGGATGATCCAACTGAAGAATTGGGGAAACAAGATCGATCTAAGATGGCCTCGAAGCACTCCAAGATTCTTGCGGAATTGCGCAGGTCCAAGGAGTGCTTCAGGACTTTTACCCCGCAGGAGCCGCGACAGTGGATTCCACTTCAGTCTCTAAAGTTGACTCTAGAGTTACAACAGTTGGATTTTCCGCAAACTGCCGCTGCAATTCTACTTGTTGATTTTGTGAAAGAAACAGGCCTAAGATTGGTTTAGGCTCGCCAGGAGTCCTCCAAGTCTCTCTCATCGCGAAGTTGTTCGACAGGAGCTCTTCGAGTGCTTTGCTCCTCCGTTGGGCGATAGTTTAACGCCTCCGAGTCACTGGCAAGGAGGCCTCAAAGTCTCGCGCCTGCCTCGCATCAGTTGGCTGCCTCCCAGGTGGACACAGGCCGATCGCTGGAAGTCATGTGGACCGGGCTGATCAAAGAATGTTTATTTAGGCCCCGGGCCGACCCACATAAAGTGCCTGGGTACTGGCGGCCAGTCATTCACAGGTGGCTGGCGTCTCTGATCAATTGCCTGATTGTGGACTCCACACCCTCCTTCTCCCCAATTTCCCTTGATATGCTTTTTACTGCCAACCGAACGAATGAGGGCGATGATGATGGTGCTGCTGGCAGCAACCACCCCGGGCCGTCGGACCCGAGGCCTACAGGGATGGCTCCAGGCGCAAGCTCTACGTGGCTCCTCCAGAGCTGGGAGCGAAAGTGGTCTTCCATCGTGAGAACGTGGAGGTCTTGGAAGGTGGGCGACTGTGAGAACGTGGAACCCTCCACGGTGGTTTGGGATGGCTGCGAACGAACAGCATAGGACTATGGACCGAGGCCTAGAGAGAACCGATCCCCTGAGTCGTATCATCAGCCGTTTCCAGGAGGCACACGTGTTCGGTTTTGTAGAGAGTTCATGCAGGCTAGGTCATCCACATGTCGTATGGTCACAGGAGCTTCCAGGGTGGGGCAAAGATTCGGGCTTGCCACTTCTGAGGTCGAAGATTGAGCCCCGTAGATCAGCATGGACTTGTTTTGGGGCCGGACTGTATTACACAGTGGCCGAATTGGTTGCCCAAAGATTGGCAAATTGGCTACTACCGTCCACATGCAGGGGCTCCGAAAGTTTGTTTCCTGAGCCCCGAGAAGACGCTTGGATTGAAGGTTGTCCTTGCAGCGTAAGACGGAGTGGAGAATTGCTGTGTTGCAGTGCTGCTAGCTAGTGAACTTGATCAGCTATGTTGCTTATTACTCTACAACAAGGTACAATAATATATATATATATACATATATATATATACACATAGTAGACATGTGACATGTGTACATACATGTTTGTGCCAGCACACATACATATATATATATATAGCTATCTAACTACATAGGTGATATGTCGCTGTACTTTAGATTTTAGATGAATCATACACTGCATGCACCATGGATTTGTTTTCTTCTTGTTTCGAGTGGTGCCTCTTTGCTGAGGAAGAGATTCACAGACCGGCAGCAAGTGCTCTCGCACCTGAACCCCAACTCTCAACCCAAGAAGCCTGCGGTATGCCGGGTGAAGTTGGGCGACTTTGCTCGGCGTCATGCATTTCTGATTCGACAGAGACATGGCGAGTTTGGGTGCCGAGAATGAAGAAATGGGCACTGTCTGTTTGAAACAATCAGATCAGTTTCATCCCTTGGTCCCAGGGGATAGACAAATACTCTTTGGGGTGGTTTCAGCCACCAACCGATTCACCCCAAACGGTCGACATCCATGGCACAATAACACTGCCCGTGTAGTGCCAAGAACAGTGTCTTTCCAACATTGTACCCTCCACTGAACTGGTATCCTTCAAAGCACGTCCTAGCTAACATAGCACCAGGAAGATGGCTCGAACAGCTGGGCTGCGTGGTGGGATGCCACTTTCAGCCTTGCAAAGACTTCACGCTTGTTTCTTGATGTCAATCAAAGAATTTCATGGATGTCTTGGCTCATTTCCCTGTGTACTCTGTATATACATGTCTTTTCCTGAATCCACCACCCTGCGAAGTGTCAGAGGCGTCATCTCTAGCCATTTCCCTTTAGAACTTTAGAGCACACATGAAGCCTCTCGACTCTCGATGTATGTAAAGCCCCGATGTATGTTGGCTTGGTGGATGGTACCTTGTACCTTCTAATTGCTTTGCTACGCATGAAGATGATCAGACGTTCAGTTCTTTGGATAATTTTCAGAATGCAAATCCAGCGGGAATAAGCGGCCGCTGAAGATGATCCACTCAGCGGCCCATGGCCACAGACATCGATCCCCGCAAGTAAGTAAAGCACTGAAACACGTTGGGTCGAATCACAGGACTTGGATGTTCCTCATCATCCACTTTTGGCCCAACCGCCCCCGTCTTTCTGCGGGCAGAAATGCCCTTCGTTCGCGTGGTTCCAGGAAACAGATCTGTTCGCTTCGTACATCGCTGCCCTTCGTTCCAGCGGATGACAGCGAAGACGAGTTCCCTGAGACATGCGATGTCTTCCGGAGCTTTACATATCAAGAGTGCCTTTCTTGAAGCAGAGTGTTCGGAACAACATGTTTGGAATGTTCGGCGCTGTTTTTGCATCGACTGCCACAGCTATGACCTGGGGTCTTGGAATAGCAGCTAGTATTTGATAATGAAAGTTGCAATCGCCAAGCTTAAGACCCAAACCTGCAGGCCGCCGCATACCTCATCAGTTCGCAAAAGAGTGGCTATGACATAAAGCGGCTATGAACCAACCTAATTGATTCGATTCCGTAGACACTCAACGAAAATTGGTACGGTATTTGCAATACCGCCCTTTCCGTTCAACCGTATTGACTCATTGACTGTTAGCAATTAGCATAGTTGAGTTATTTTTCTGGAGTTCTCCCCCAAGAACTAGCTTTCAGCGGCAGAGATTGGATTACAAGATTCTGCAGTCATGACTTTCTTCCTCCATATTTGATGACTCCATACCCAAGTCATAAACTGTCCACGTTCCAATGTAACAAGTTCCACCTTCCAAGCTGTTCACCTCCAGGTAACTGCCAGTTCCCCTTGGATATCACGGTTGCCAGGTTCCTCCAAGCCACTCGGATAGTTTCGCCAGGTTCAAGGATTGCTTTGCGCCACCCCTGGGCGACTGCACGGTTCCTCCGAGCCACTGGCCAGAGGGCCTACAGGTTTGCACACTGCCGCGCATCAGCTGGTGGCTTGCCGAGACCCTTTGCTCCGTTCGTAGCGATGCCCGAAATGCTCCGTTCGTAGCTTTATTGCAGCCTTTGCTTGACTGGCGAGAAACCAAGCCGAAAGAAGGGAAGATTTGATTACATCGGTGCAGTAGATGCAAAGGGCGAGTGGAGCGATACATCATCTTCCCAATCAAAGCCTCTACCCTGACTGTCACACCAGAAGTTTGAAAAGGTGGGGTATGGTTGCCCAGTATCTCCAGCTCTTCATCCCCAATCCAACTTGGCATAATTATGCCATGGAGACTCGTCCCGTTGAAAGCTCGACCACCGCCTGGAGACTCGTCGACCGAGTCTGCAGGTTGCCGCCTGGCTGGGGCCAAGGCATCCGCATGGGCCAGAAAGGCCGTCGGCTGAAGGTCTTCGTGGCACCTGAGGGGCACGGGCGCTTGGTGGTGAATAACAAGCAAAGTTGCTTGGAGCAAGGACGCTACGAACGGGGCTCCTGGCCTTACTACTAGGAGCAAGGACGCTACGACTGGGGCTCCTGGCCTTACTACTACTAGCAAGAACGCTACGAACGGGGTTCCTGGCCTTACTACTAGGAGCAAGGACGCTACGACTGGGGCTCCTGGCCATACTACTACTAGCAAGAACGCTACGACTGGGGCTCCTGGCCTTACTACTACTAGCAAGAACGCTACGAACGGGGCTCCTGGCCTTACTACTAGGAGCAAGGACGCTAC